ATGTAAACACTTGCATAACCAGCACCCAGATCTACTATTTTTTTTTTTTTTGTCTTTTTCCATGTCCGGCAACGGATTGCAACCCTCAGTGTCACCCCCGTACCGGACCGGGACCGGCAACGGGATCGCAACCCTCGGTGTTGCCCCCGCGCCTCGCTCAGCCAGTGAGCGGGAACCGGTCTGTATGTGGGATCCGAACCCTCGGGCGGGAGCGCAGCTGCGCTTCCCAAGCGGCGCACTAGCGCAGTGCGCCACCGGGCCGGCCCCCAGATCTACTATTAAGACATTTTATGGACCCTTGTATTTCCCTCCTAGTCCTGATTCTCCCCCAGAGGTAAACACTTTAAGGCTACTAGTATCATCAATTATTTAGCCTGTACAAAAATATGTAACAAGGTATGTATTTTTCTAGGTCTATCTTCTTTTACTGAATATTATGTTTGTGAGGTTTACCCAAGGTTTCATGTGCATTTAATTCATTCTTGTTGCCATTTTGTATGTCTTTGTGTGAGTATACTATCTTTTATTTATTAATTTTACTGTTGATATGTATCTGGGTTGTTTCCAGTTTGGGACAATTGTGAAATAAAGCTGCTATGCATACTTTTGTACAAATCTTTTGGTGAACATACATCCTTTTCTGTTGCAATAAACCTAGAGTGGAACTGCACATTCTTGCAGTAGGGACATGTTCAGCTTTAGTAGTTACTGCCAAAGATAATATTTCAAAGTGCTTGCACCCACCGACACTTGTTGGTCTTTATAATTTTACTAATTCTGATGGGTATGTAATGATACCACATTGTACTTTAAGTTTGCATTTTCCTGATTATTAATAAGGTTTGGCACTTTTTTAAAAAATTGAAACATAGTTGATTGTGCTTATCTGTGGGGTACAGAGTTGAATATCAATACCTGTGTGCAATATGTGATGCTCAAGTCAGGGTAACTAGTATATTGAACATTATGCAGTGTAATAGTTTTCTATGGCCCTTTATGGTTTGGAAATTTTCATGTTTATTGTCCATGAGGATATCCTCCCTTATGAATGCTTATGCAAACACTTTTCCCATTTTCTATCATGTTTGCTTTCTTTAAAAAATATCAGTTCAAATGAATTATTTATATATTCTGTACATATGTTTTCTGGATATATTTGCTACTCCTATTCTATGGCTTGCATTTTTACTCTCTTAATTTTTCTTTTGATAAACAGAAGTTCTTAATTTTAATAAAGTATAATTTATTTATTTTTCTTTTTGTGACCCATTCAAGACATTTATTTTTCCAAGTTATGAGAATAATTTTTTATGTTATTTTCTAGAAGTGCCATTTTGATGTTCAAATTTATACTTGTAAGTATTTTTTTTTTTTGTTTGTGTGTATGGTGTGAGGTAGGGGATCATATATAATTTTTTAAAATATGGATAGCCAATTGATCCAGAACCACTTAATAAAAACATCATCCCCCCACTATAATGTAGTGTGTATTTAATATTTAATTACTAATTGTTGTCATTATGTACTTCTTGATTAGACATTATTTATAAAAGTTTAAGGTCAAAGAGAATTGTTTTCTAATTGTCAAGTAGCCCTCTTCAGACAGTCAGATATCAGAATTGCTCTGGGATACATCAGGCATGTTTTAACTGCTTTCTCCTAGTACAAAGTCTTCATCATTTGGATGATTTTTCTTAAAGGATACATATGTTATAAATAAATTATTTATATGCATAGTTCAGTCAAGAAAATGCAAGAATTACATTTGATTTTATGTGTACCTAAAATTAATATTTGAATTATATTCTTCTCCTATTGAAACAATTATATTATGTAGCAATAATACCTGGTCATATTATCTGATAGAGATTGATCTCCAGGACATATTAAATGATCAAAGCAAGATGTAGAAAAGTATGCATAATATGCTACATTTAGGTGGAAAAATAAACTAGAATTTATCAGTCTATTTGAATATACATGATACAATCACGGAAGGATACACAAAACACACTGGTAAGAGTTAGTTGTCTTTGAAGAGGAGACTATATGACCCTCTTTTGGGGGACGGAGAGAGACTCATCTTGTATTGTATCGCCTATTTTTATCTTTTGAGTTTTGTGCCTGTGGTAGAATGGTTTATTCTCCCCAGTTCTGCACTCCTGTATGATAAGCCACATTCTTTGTTATGTAATTTGCATCCTTCCACTGTAGGTGAAGCAGTCAACCCCACCCCACTAGGGTTAAGCTTGGTCATGTGAACTGCATTAGCCAAAGGAATGTTAACAGATGTGAAGCAAGCAGAGGCTAAACTACGCTGGTGTGCTTTAGCAGGCCCTCTTTTGCTCTTAGAATATTTCATATAAAGAACATAAAACTGTGACAGCTGCTGGTTCCAGAAAGAAAGGATGTGTGGAGTAGACCTGGCCCCAACCCATAGCTTTGAGCCAAGTCTAAGTGATCTCAGCCCAAAGTAGAGCCACCTCAGCCCAACTACAGACCTGTGAGCATGAAAAACAAATATTTGCAGTTGTACACTGAGTTGTTCACAATTGTTTGTTACAAGGTATTGTAGCAATAGCTGAATAAGACAAATCCCATAGGAGTTCTCTTAACTGACCTTCACTTAATCAGATTCCTCTAGGTACACTGAGTTGTTCACAATTGTTTGTTACAAGGTATTGTAGCAATAACTGAATAAGACAAATCCCATAGGAGTTCTCTTAACTGACCTTCACTTAATCAGATTCCTCTATGAACCAATGTCCTCCTTTCTTTCTATAAAATGTATTAACTGCTATCCAATGCCTCTTAAATGTTCACAGCTAGTAGGCTAATCTAGTACAGTCACACCTTCCTACTCCTTCTAGTTGAATTGTATGCTTACTAACAGATTAGTTATTCTCAAACCTATTTATGCCTCTTCTATTTATTATAGCAGTTAAATTAATTAATTTTGGGTAATTTGATAAAATGTGGATAAAAGAAGAATATATTGCTTGTGTGAAAACCACATTGTGTACTTTATAAAGTGCAATAAAAATTAGTTGCTGAAAATCATGATCAAGTCAGATACATAAAAATTGACTCACAAGTGTTTTAAATTCTCGCTTCATTTTAAAGACACTAAAACTAAATATTAAGAATGGTGAATTGTGTATTATTTATTGAAGGATGATTATGTGGTATCCAAAATCCAAAAGACTTTGGTCCTATGTGCAAATATTAGTCAGTTAATTTACATTTACTTGTTTTAAGTTAAAATAAGCTATTGAAGGTATGTATGTGTATCATTTGTTTATGATTCCCTGAGGATCATAAAAATGTTACCCAGCTGAGTGGGGTCCATTTGCCCATGCACCACAGAAGGCGAATCACCGAAGCAGAAGCACGTGTCTTTGCAGTAGAAGAAAGTTTAATCACAAGGTGGTCATTGGAAGAAGGCAGAAGATTAGCATCTCAGATCCGCCTTCCTCAGAATGGGAAAGTTGGTACATTATGACGGAGCAAGTGGGGGCATTGTGAAGTGTGGGGGATCGTGATTGGTTAAGGGTTTGGAGGAGTCCTTCAGTGATCTGTATGGGGGCAGGCCATCTGCATGTTCAAAAGATGGCAGTGTCTACAGGATCTGGAGGTGGAGTCCTCACCCTCTAACGTCAAAGGTCAGACATTCATGTAGGCTGAGTAGGGATGTCTGCAGCCTCTCCTGGCCTAGCCTGGTTTGGGCTGGGCCAAGCTAACCTTGACAATACTGAAAGAAATCTTAGGCACACAGCTGGTGATTTCTATGCCAGAGGTGTTATATTAAAGGGCAGAAAAGAAGAAACAGAACAAAAGGTTCATTATGGAAATTTACTGAAAGAACAAGCAATTGAAACATGGAATGAATAACTGAAAACTATGGGTACAACCATTTTTTATTAATTACATCTTCATAGAAGGCAAAGGACTTTTCTAAATTATACCATTAGGAATACAAAAACTGACATTAAAACTTCATGCTACTCTTTGAACTCTGTACTAAATCCTAGAATCAATGTCTAGTGTATTTTAGAGACTTAAGTAGAGCAAGAGTTTGGCTATTCTAGTGCCTCCCTTGCTGGTTCTAAATTAGGATTTCTAGGAGCTGCTTTAAATGTGATTTAGTGCAAATGCAGTCGTATCAATTCAACTTTGTTAATAAAGACATAATAGCTGATTAGTGCAGTTTCTCTTTAGTACAAAACAAGAGGGAATTATTTCTCACTTGTTATAACTTAAGACCACTGCCTTCTATTGTTGAGCTCTAACACACTATTTTCAGACAGGCTTATTAATTTAACTTTGTTTTAGATAATTTTAATAGTTAGTAATTCAGCTTATCCTAGTCACTCCCAATTTCGTCTTTTTTCCCCTAGCTTAAAGCAGTAAAACAAGCCCCTGGAATACTTAAATTTTATCAGTTTTCCATTCTGCTGTTTTCTTTTAGGCTTGTTGATGCGGGCCAAGGCTTATTTCATGGCTTGTTTGTAGATGACCATAATGACAACTGGCCTGGTTGTGATTTCAGGTAAGCCACATTGGCAAAGTCTTTCTAGGCCACCACTCCTGTGCTTATGTTCAATCCTTTGAGAAAGGGGATGGGAAGGGGCTATTGTTTGCATGAAGCTGATATCTATCTATCTGTTTATCTCTATTTATCTTGAGAAAGGAGAGGAACGATCCTCTTTTAACTGTTCTCCCAATTGTACACTTAGCAGAGTGTAAAGTAGATCATCTTAAATTAAAAAGAAGGCCTAGCCCTGACTGAGGGGATGAGAGTCCAAGATTTCAGATGTATACATTTCTTAGAGAAAGAGCAGCACAGTTCAAATAATTCCTGGTTGGAATGCTGAGATAAGGTAACACCTCAGCAACAACAACAGGGGTGCTGGGGTCAACCTCACTGTTGATTAGTATTTTTCCTAAAGCCTCTTCTGGGCTCAGAAGCAACTTTTAGCTGAAAAGTAGATGCATTGCATTTAGGAATATGCCTTCATTAAAGCTATGATTTTACTGTACATTCGTTGAGGAGCGTCAAGGCCCCAGACGAAATCAAAGTGGTTCCATTCTGGCAATAGTTTGAAGTAACGGAGGTTCCTGATTTGGGGGAGTACCTTGGCCACATCTCGGGGTGTTACAAGGACATCATGTCCACCAGCCCAAATAGCAGTAGGCACTTCCATGGCAGATAAGTCATATAGTGGAGGACGACTCTGCAGGAAAGAAAGGACATTCATGAGAGGAAGCTTCTCATACCAACAACTGAGTTCAAATAAATCAAAAGGCTGCTAAACAAGTATCTACTATGGCCATAGCTGTGTGAGGCACCAAGGGAGATAGCAAGAATATATGCAATGGTCCCTACCTTCACGGAGTTTGAAACATTCGTATGCAAAGTAAGGTATGTTTAATGCCATGAAACACTCCCAAACTACAATGGAACTGAGGACAAATAAGAAATTATTTCCAACTGGGATCTTTAGAAAAATGGGAGTTACTTGAAATGACTCTTGCAAGATGGTAGGATTGTGACAGGCTTTGACAGGGGTGGGGGTTCTTCCCAGGAGGCAAGAAGAGTGTGCAGACCATGATCAGGAATGGCGAGCTTCCCAGCATACCCAGAGGACAAAGTATGTGAGGGAATAGAGCAGGAATAAGGCTGGAGTCAGACAGTCAAGACCTGAATGTCAGGCTAAGGAATATGAACATCTTTCAGAAGTTTTGGAGACAAGGCAGGGTCATTTCTTAGAGCTCCGTCTAGAACATATGGGCATCAGTTAGTGGGATGACTTGAAAAAGGGAGGTTCTAAAAAAAATCTAGATGAGCAGTATAGACAGTCCAAATTGAAGGTGTGGGGTTGGCTAAATTCTCCAAGAGAGGGAGAGAGTTGTGAAGAATCTCAGGAGCATGCTGACAATTTGAGAGTGGTGGGAGAAAGGACAGCCACCGAAGGGGACAAAGAAAGCAATCAGAAAGAGAAGGAAGATCAGAGATCATTCCATTATGGAAGTCCAAGTTACAGGAGTGCGTTGTGAGGAGACGATGGTAACTAACATAACACATTTCAAAAGGTGAGCATAGACAACTGAATTTGGTAATTAAAAGGCACAGTGACTTTAAATAGAGTAGCTATCACTAAGAAAATGAAGTCTGAAAGTACATTTTCTGAGGTTCAGAAGTAAGTGGGAGGGGACAAGATGCCCTTTTACATATCGAAAAATGTTGACAAAAACAGTGATGGAATGCTGACTTGATAGGCTTGATGGGTTAGGAGGTTTCTTGGCTCATTTTTCATAAAGTACAGGAGTTCATTTAAAATAATG